ATTTTTAATTTTTAAAAAAAACTAAAACTAAAACTAAAAAATATTTTAAAAAATAATAAACATAAGTCGTAGTTGACTCTTTTGTATTTAGGCTATTCATAGATGAAATTAGGTTTACAAAACTTTTCATCCAATTATAAACTTTTAATCAAAAATATTTTTTTTGTACCCTAAAATTAATAACTAGTGGAGTTGATACCAACTTTATAATTAAAAATACTTACCGAAAGTAATAGTATTGGCACGAACGTCAAACCATATTACTACTTCTTAAATAGTTTTTAAGATGAAATTATTGCATGAGAAGAAGGTGACTATAATCACATGTTAACAAGAATGCAATTTGTACATTTGATTTATAAATTAGGTCTTTAATTAATATTTAATTAACATCTTTATCTTTATTTTTCTATGCAATAAAAGTGTTGATGATCCTATTAACCTACTTGATCCATTGACCTAACTTGGCTTAATGAACCTTTGAATGGTAAAGTTGGATTTAAAAAATTAGTTTCAATAAATTTGAAAGATGAGTTTAATAGATAGTATCTCAAATAAAAAAATCTATTGTTTATTGTCGTATACATTATTATAATTATAATTTTTTAATATAAATAATATTTTTAGTAAGATTTCAATTTCTATTTGATTATAAAATTACGTTATATAACTTGCTAAAATATAATGTTACACATTTTTTAATCGCTTTTTAAAATATAAGGATAAAAATAAAGATAAAATATCTCATTATTCATAAATAGTTACATTGAAATACTATCTTATAAAAATATTTAGTATTTTTTTCATTATTCATTGTTATATTTTGATTCTCATCTATTACTTATTTACTTATTGAATTAAATATCGGAGAATTTTTGTAAGTGAATCTTCCGCACATTCAGATCATCTAAGGATACATTATAAAACTAAATTTAAGAAAAATAAAACTTAATATCAATTTGGTACTCTTAATTAAAAAGACGTTTATTATAAAAGGTAAGACTTAAAAAAATATCCTTATATCATAATAGAAATAACCAACAAATATATAAATCTTAAAGAATTAAACTAAATAATATGTACCCCTCTCTCTCTCTCGCATTTTTTAAATTAAAATATGTATCTTTTGGATAGGAATATTGATATTTAATAAACTAAATTATATAATATTAGTTTTGATCTCATATCAACAAGTATATTATTTTGTTCTCTATTCACTTTTTTAAGAATTATCAATTCACAATTGGAAGTTTTTTTTTTTTTTTTTTACTTTTGCATGGTGAATCTCTGCTTGATTGAAATAAAAATAAAAATTTAATCAATAATCAATATTGGGAACACAATCACATAAGGATTTCAAAAACATTATAAATTTTACGAAGAGAACAAAAAGGGTTAATTAATTTTTAGCTACACTATTTTCTTATTCTTAAAAAAAACACACACACAATAACCTTTTACACCGTTTTTTATATTATATATTAGTTCATTAATTGATGTAAAAAATTGTAGAAATAGAACTTTCATGTTAATAAACCAATGTAAACAACACATTATACGCGGATTTCTTTAGTAAATGGTGAAGAGTTTCGAATTTAAATGTAATAAGTTAAAATTTACACTTATATAAAGAGTCACTAATTTTTATTTTATTTTTTATGCTTTACGGTGAGATTCTATAATAAGAAAAAAACAAAAATATAGTCACTTTCAGTAATGACTTAGAAAGAACGTAAGTCTAAATTGGAGAAATTACAACGGAATTCAAATTTAATATATTGTACTCCAAGTTTTTCCAATTCTTGGCAAATTTTTGTTGACAAAACTTGATTCACACTCATAATCAATAAATGAGAATTTAACTATGATTTTGAAGTCTCATTTTACTACGTAAAATAAAAAAGTTAAGTAACTTATGAGTGAGAAAAAGACTTATAACCTAATATTTTAAAATTTTACATTGAGAGTGATATAATAGACAATTTCATGTCCACTCAATAACAAATACATAAAGTCTTCTCATGTCTACTTTTTACTCACCAAAATTTATCAAAAATACACATTTCACTTCTTATTTAATTCATCTCTTTTAATTTTGAAGTTATTGGTAAATTTTTAACAATGATAAACCATATTAAAAAAATAGGTAATTTTTTTTATCTTCACTAATTTATTTCATATCTCTTTTGTTCTTATTTTCAATTCAGAAATAACATAACTAAAGATATCTTTTTTATATTATTGTTTTTTACGTTTATAAACTAGGTTATTAATCCATCTTACACTACTAAAAATTCTCATTTTTCATGGGAATATTTTTGCAAAATTTTTGTAAAAATTGCAAGAAATAAGTTTTCTATAAATTTAAACAATTTTTTTCTATAAAATTGATAAAAAAAAACTAATTTTATAGTAGGGTTAATTAGCACCTTCATTTCAATTAGTTAATTTATAATCTTTATAACTTTTCCCTTCTTAAGTTATAGCTTAAGCTAGATTATAAATTAGATTAATGAACTCACCTTAAAAAAATCAATTTTTTATTAAAAATATTACTAGAAATACAAAAATTCAAGATTTATTGAATAAATCTAAATTAGTATATGTAGTCATTAAAATCCTTATTCGTATATAACTTATATATATATATATATATATATATATATATATATATTCATAATATGTCAAAAAAACGCCTTTTGAATTGATTTTATAAGTACAACTATTAAAGAATCAAAGTGGAAATTGTTTATTTAAAAGTACAATACTTGATCTATTAATGCATTTTTGTCATCATTGTTAATATTTTTCATTTTTTTAAATAATTTTTTATCCATTAATTTCTTAACAATTAATAAAAGTGCAGTTTTCCAACTGTATATATTAATAGTACAAAATATTAAAGGTTTAAGTTATGATGAAACTTGAAATTTGCATGGTTATTGATGGAATTTTAATCATAAAGAAGGCAGAAAGAAAAATTGTTTCAAAGAACATTAATTTAGGTTGCACAAAGGTACTGCATGTGTATGAAAATGTCTAATGCATGCATTCAAAATTGACCACAAACATGTTCACATTTTGGTGAGAAGAAAAAATTGCAACAAATGTGATGTTAAAGTAAACGTTTATAGTATGAAGTTCAACTGCGTACACTTTGAGCTTCCTACACTATTCAATTCAATTATGAGATGTATTTTTTTCTAATTTGATGGAATTTTAGGTATTGCTTTCTTATTTACTGATTTCTTTGTTTGGTAAACTATCACTATTTCAATCAATAACATGATAAAAAAATGTATTTGTATTTTTCTTTTTTTATTGTGAAAACTATTCTTAACAAACTAAATCAATTTATTGTTTTAAAATTTGTGTTTCATTTTCAATTAGGTATTTTATAAATTACTTATTTCTATTATATATTAAAATCCATTTATATTTATTTTATTTTATTGCAAAATTATTTTGTTTACATTTTCTCTTGACAATGGATAGGGTTATGTCAAAAGTCATTTAATAGGTTAGGGTTGGGTATTGTACTAAAGGAGAACCACAATTGGGAGAAAACTAATGTTAAAGCTTAAAAATAAAAAATTTTAATTCTTTAGTTTAAAAAAAAAACTTGTTTCACTGATTATTTTTTCAATTTTTGAAATTTTTTTATATTAATTTTTAAAAATGATAATTTCAAAACTGATAGAAGATATTTTTTTATTTTTAGTTTCTATTTTCATCGATAATAGTTATGTTTTTATCCATAATTATATTATATTATTTTTTTACTTTAGGTTCGTGAAATTATCAAAATTATTTTTTAATTTTTGTCATGATTTTTTTTATGTATTTCGTCTAAAATAGTTTTTGAAATACACTCATGAAATAATCTTCAACTTATTTCATAGTTACTCAGTTTCATTAAATTATTTTATATATTTCAAAAACTAATTTTCAAAATGTAAAAAAAAAACAAATAGAGTATGAAAAAAATTGGTATAGAACCAATTTTCGGCCCAATTTCATATACCTAATTGTTATGATATGGACTGGCCCAATTAACCATCTCATCCTATCTGAAAAGATTGTGATATATTAATCATGAACAATGTCAGCAAAGTTTAATGGCTTCTATTTTTTGAAAGAATAAAGAAGAAAAGAATGAGATAATGACCAATAAGTCAATAAATAAATGTAATTTCAGATACAACACTCATGTTACATCCAATTAAGAACAACACAATCTCACACTTATAATTGTCACTTATAAAAAATAATATCTTGCATTGTTAGAAGTGAATGACAGCACACAAACGCATTAATTTAAAAAATAGTGTAAAATTGAGTTAAGAAATTATTTAATCTAAAGAAATGATAATACAAGTAATAAACTGCATTACTATCATTTAAACCAAGTTTTCAATTTATGTTAAACTTATGCACCACAAGATGATTCTTTATAGAGTTTAAAAGGTCATTTGTAGGTGTAAAAAATATGATAGATACATACCCAGAGTGTGTGTGTTTTTTGCAAAGGTGTGAAATGGTACTATAACCTAGACATGGTTAAAAATAGTTGGCAGCACTATTTTTCAGATGAGCATAGTGCATATGATCATGCAAAAGTTTTGAACTAGCACTAGAGGTTAACCACTGCTTGTTAAGTTGCAAGCTTTTGCCTTTTTGAACAAGGTCAAGAGAAAAGTTTGAACTCTGCAGGTGGTTGAATGAAGCAGGCACCCACCTATGATTGAAGGGTTGGACTCGAAAGCGAAACATTTTGTCCAATGGGGAACTCATCAATGGACTTAGCAAGACAAGAAGACAAGAAGAAACGACTAAGACAAACAACACAACACAGTGCAAGGCACACTACAAGGGTCCCCGCATGTCAAACATACACTCCTGCCATCTGATATAAAATCACATTCTAAAAAATTCCCATTTTATTATTTTTTCGTTGGGTTGAAAAGTGAAATGACGAATCAAAGTGAACCAACCAGCAAATGATGAGGCAGAAAGACTTGGTTGCAGCCTTTGAGCTGCACATTCATGCAAGGGGACCATGCCTCAGTTTGTGGCAGATGGGTACCAAGTTGTGTTTTTGCTGGGTCTGTAGCTCCCCCATTGCTGAATTGCATTAAAGAAAAGGCACAAAATACAGGTAAACATGTAGAAACAGAGTTGTATAGGGAGCCCACCTATGAGCACCACATGTATTGGAAAAGTACCCCACCTTTGAAACAATGGCAGAGGCATGTAACTAGAGACCCCATCAAAATATGCAGGTCTTCTATAAATCCAATTGCCCCACTTTTGCCCAAAATAGAATAGTTATAATTAAAAAGGATAATATAATATTTTATTTTTATTATTGCATATGAAATAATAAAATAATCTACAACACGGGATACATGTACTTTGCTATTTCTGTATACTTGAAACGATGAAATACAAGAACCAATGTTGCACTTGCACATAATTATATAAATATAATAACCCACTATCGGTACCCTACCTTCTACCACTATGCTTCCCTTGCATTCTACAGTGGGTCCTAAATGAATATAACAGCTGTTGTTTCATCTGAGTCTTGCTCAATCATTCGTTCACTACAATTTCCTCTAAAAGCACATGAAGAACAGAATTTAAGACAAATTCTTCAAATATACATTCCGTATACTAGTGGTTCTGCAGGGAACTGGAAAATCCTTTTTGCTTTATGCCATACAGTTTAAGTCATGTACTAATAAACTAAACCTCAGTTCATTTCTGTCTGTAACATTGGGAAGAAAGCCCAACTGTTGGCTGATCTACCTTCCCTCCCAGCAACTCTCCTGTTAGTCCACCACTCAGAACCACTGTCACCAGTATCAGAAACAACTCCTGTACTGTTGTCAAAATTGAATTCTTTGGAAGAATTTACAGAATTCTGCTTATGGAAGCATTGCCCGCCTTCTCCTATAGGATTTTCAGGCTTGTCATCTGTTTTCTCTGTACACACATTACAGTTAGCATCTGCCTCTCTTTGCACCCTTTCTCTGTCAACAGGGTCTTTGGCCAGTATACCTTGTGAGGAACCTGACATATTTCGAAGCAATACCCCAGTTTTATTTGCAAGACATCGAGCAACATCTTCCCCAGTTAATTCAAATGAAACTCTGTGATCAACTAATGTTGCATTACTTGGATGTCCATTGTCAGAGTTAGCAAGAGTTGCATCCTTAGAAATTTGGTTTTGCACAGAGATGTTATTTTGATTGGTAGGCCCAGCAGCATCAGGTGTCAAACAGCCAGAACCTAACCTGGATTCCTGCCCCAGACCATCAGGTGTCACACACCCAGAACCTAATCTCGAAGCAATCCCAACACCATCAGGAGTCACGGATCCTGAGCCAAGTCTTGAACCTTGCCCTGCACCATCTGGTGTCAATGACCCAGATCCTAGTCTTGAACTCCATCTTCGGGTAGAAAAGTATTCAAACCCCAAGATCTTTGGTGTTTCCCCTTTGCGGAATTCAAGAGGAAATGGGGTAGAAGTGCCAGAAGTTGATATTGCCGATCCAGGTGATATGAGTTGGCCACCTGGGCTTCCAGGATATTGTTGGTAAGGTAAAAAATCATAATTGTATAATGCAAACTTCTGATTCCCATTACATTTCCGAGCCCGGTCCAGTGAAGAAGCCAACAATTGAGCAAATGGAACGTCAGGAGATGAAGGTGTTGTTTGATGCACAGATTCGGGTGGCGGAGTAAAAGGAGCAGTGGATGGTTCAGTTGTGAAGTTGGAAAATACGGGTGGAGAAACTAATTGGGTCTCATAGGCATACGGACCAATGGTGAACATGGATGCAGGACCACCAGCAGAGTAAGCACTGGCTGCAAGAGAAGAGAGTGAAAGTAATCCAGGCGGTGATTGAATAGCAGATGGAGGATCAGATTGGATTAAAGATGCAGGAGAAGATGGAGGGGCGATGAACGGCATTACAATGGCAGTTGAAGGATTTGGTGGTGCAGCAGCGGCAGCAGCTGGACCTGTTGGTGCAACAGGTTCTGGAACAAGAACAGCATGGCCAATTCGCTTGCTGCTTTTACTGCTTTTACAAGATCCAAAACACCAATATTGGCTCCAGCAACCTCCCCATCGTTTTTTCTGCAGTTAGTGAAGAAAAAATTATATATTCAAATTTAGAGGGAATCAAAATATTACTCGGTGACACCAAAGAAAGAAAAATTTTAGGACATAACCAAAATAATTCCAGATTTCTCTAAATTCAAATATGAACTACGAGTATTATCATTTCGGCAATTCTGTTACACATTATCCGACGCTCAAGTTACATATAGCTCAATATTGCAGGGCAGAGTGCTCTGGCCAAGAAATTGATATTACACATATGGAATATCCGTTAGAATTTTAGTTTCCATTATAAGCACGTCTAATCTTATGATAGCTAATAAACATACAAACTCATTGACTTTCTTCAAAACTCATTTATAGCCTTCTAATTCATAGATATCGTATGCAAGGAGAGGGTGCTACGAATGCATAGATTCATCAATCTGCAATGTGGATTGCTGCAATTCAAGTTATAATGTCCTCTTTATGGTGCATGGTTAACTGAGAAATGATCCTTTGGGAGAAAATTGACTTGACAAGATAATGATTTCATAACCTTTATTTCCTTGCCAATGATGAAATATTTTAAACTTAGATCATTGTGTTCGATGTGGTTCTAATTCTAAGGTGAATTAAAACTGGTGATTGATTGTATAATCATGGGAGACTGACTTCAATGGCCGTACTATGCAAAACGCTATGGGACAAACTGCAATTTTTCCTTCTTCTGTTAAAGAAATGAAGTCATGTTTTCCCTGTCGCAATTTGAAATCACTACATGTCTGCCAACGTATGTTTATGCAATTCTTCCATGCAAGACAAATAAATTTATGCCCACATTTGAATTTAAATGCATATTGATTTGATTGCCAATATATATTTTTCATATATATGATATAGTTATTGAAAGTCCCGTGCAGGTAATGATCCTAATATATCAAACATTTGACAGACCTAGAAAACTTAGATTTATCTTCTTTACTTTACAATGGGTAGGTTGTTGAATCTATGCATTAGTAACACCCTGTCACTAAGATCAGCCACAAAGATCATTTTCAAACCACTAAGATCAGCCAATCACATTGACAAAATTATCATTGTCACCACAATCCATTTTCAAACTCATGTTATTTGTCAATGACAATCAATGATAAGAAATTTCCACTGTCACTGCTTAGTTCGTTTCATGGCGCTGCCCGCTCAACCAAATTCTCTTCATGCTTATCAGTTGAAATGATATGTTTTTTTAACGTAAGTCTGAGAGACCAGCCAAAAGCACATAGCCATAATAAAACCTGGAGCGCTTGTTAAAAGAACTATCAAAAGTGTACAACATGAAAAATTAACAATTTGTTGGATTGAAGACCACACATGTAGATAACTAAAGTCAGTTCCCCATGATTATACAGTCACAGTGTTAATTAACATTAGAAACAGAACCACATAACAAGTCAGAAAAACAAAACACAATGCTCTCAATTTAATCCAAATTGTTCATAATTAACAAGGAAGAAAGTTTATGGAATCATCTTCTCAAGTTGTTAACACAATTTTCAACCAAAAAGTTGTTTCTCAATCAACCCAGCACAAACTGAACAGTGTAACCAGCACGCCCAACAGCAGATTAAAAAGCTCAAGATTTAAATTAACACAAGTACTTTGTACTAACAATAAAGTGAAACCTCTGATAGATAAGTATATCAATCAAGCTCACACAGAAGACAGAAGACAAGAAAATTTATAAAAATCGCTCAAGAGTTATATTAACACAACAAATACTAAAGCTACCCTTGCCTCGAGTCGACGTGAGATTCATGACCTTACGGGAACACTATGTACCAACATCAAAATGAAACCTCTGAAAGATAGGTATATCAATCAAAGCACACACCGAGGGCAGAAAACACGAAAAATTATAAAAAGGAAAAATGAAAATTCAAGGCTGTTTGTGTTTCTTCTTTTCACGAAAATTCACAACTTTGAAAAAAAAAATTAAAAAATTAAGAGACACCCCAGGATCCACACTCCAATGTTCTCTTCTTTTCACACCTTTTAAAGCCACGAACGAAACAGTTTCAGATGTTGAAAACAAAACGAAAAGGGAAAAAGAAAAAGCGATTCAAATTTTCAAACCTTTCAACGCCACCACCATCCAGTCAAACAAGACTAGACCAGACCTTCACTATGAAAATTAAAAAAAATTATATATATATATATATATATATATATATATATATATATATTTAAAACAAAATACAGTAAAGAAAGAAACACGAGACACAAACCACGAAACAGCAAACACAGAACACGAGATCCCCTTCTTTCCCCCCTCTTTGGCACGTTATTTTCTCGGTACAAAAAACGGCATCGAATTTCGAAAATCGAAAAGAGAAAAGAAAAAACAAACGAGGAATCAGGCGCACGTAGATACTACAAGCAGCAGGAACATTTCAGAGAGAAAAGAGGAGAGAGAAACTCACCGGCGCGGTGGTCGGTTGCACTCTGGATTCGGCGGTGACGATGGCGGTGGCGGCGGCGTTCACCGTCTCCTGGGTAGTGTTGTTGCGGCTTCCCATGGCGGGATTTGAGTTGAACATAGAAGCGTCTGGCGGTCACCTGAGATCGGGAATCAACGGCGGCGCAAGGAGCTCGCGGCGAGATTCAATCATGGATTTGAAGCAGAGAATTGAAAAGCGATGATAAAAAAAAGAATATTATAAGAAAAACTGAGATAATGAAATAGAAAGTAAGAGAGAGAATGGAAAGTGTGTGAATGATTGATCACTCAACGGAACAGAGAACAGAAGTGAAGTGAAGATGGAAATGGAATTGACAATGAAGAGAGAATTATTAAATTGTTATTATTATTATTATTATTATTATTATTATTATTATAAATTATTATATTATTATATTATATAGTTGATAGTTATGTAGAAGAATAGAAACATTATTATTGTTCATTCTTTCTCTCTCTATGTTTGTGTCTTGGTTCACTTCCCCTGCACCCTATATCCTCCAGTTACCTCCATTTTTGCGCCAAACTATTGCCACGTCATCTCCAACCATGTTGGCCCCACCCTATTTATTATTAATAATTTAGTACTAATAAAATAATTAAAGAAAAATCTAAAAAAAATATAAAAGGTATTGAATGTAGTTAAATTACCTGTAATGTTTAAATGTGAAAAATTATGATTTTTTTTTTTCGAAAAAGTTTGAATTTAATAATTAATTTATACTTACTTGTGCGTCGTGTCTTTAATACTTATTTTTTCCTTAAATTTTGACGTTTTCGTATATTCAACATCTTTTATTTCATGCATTAGTAATACATGAAAACTTTTTAGTATTCTCGAAATTTTTATTTTTCTTGTAGAGCCAAAAATCCGTATTTCAGTATTAAAATTGTCTTATTGTGAAAAAATAATAGTCATAAAAACTAGACGAGACAAATTACAATTTTATTTCTTAAAGTTTAATAAAATTGTACTTGATTATGGATTTTTTTGTCAGAAAATTATAATTTTTTTATAAAATAATTAATAACTTCGAAGGTTAGATAAATGTAAATAATTATCTATAGATTAATTAATTTATTTTTTAATAAATATGAAAAACATTTAGATATATGTAATATACAAAAATCAGGGTTTTTTTTTTTAATGAAACTTTTGAAAGTTTGAGTGAAATAGCCAACCTTTTATCATTAATTTAGAGAGGTCTTGGAATAGAAGTTTATACATGTTTTTAGAAGCCATAATTATTATTTCTATTATCTTTTTGTAGTTGCATCACTAGTCAATTTTTCACCTTTTTTTCTCCTTTTTTTCGAAGGATTAACATATGGCTAGATATCATTTTCATGCACAAGTCGTATGCATGACCAGTTATCATCTTGTCCTATCTTTGAAAAGATAGCATTAAGTAAAAGCAATTTCATGTATATTACTAATGAATCAAAGGTTCCATAAATAGGGAAAAATTGTTATTAAAAAAATATATATATGAACTAAAAAATGGTCAATAGAAAGTATTTTCATTGAACCTTAAACTTTCAATTATTAGAGATAGTTTTTATTAGTTATTGTTTTCATATTTGTCCATCGTGAAATAACCTAGACATTCCAAATCCTTTTAATTACTTTTTGTCAACTTATTGAAAAATAAATAAAACTTTGTTTAGGTTGAAGACACTTGTGGTTGTACATCTTCACGTGGGTCTAATTTTATAGTAATTAGATCTTAGTTAGCATGAAATTAAAAAAATGGGTCCAAATGCAAGTGGAAGTTGAAAAGGGGTTTAAGAAAAAGCTAGGTTGTACTATATATTAATAATAATATTAATATTAACTTTAACAACTAACTATTACGATAGTTTCATGCAGTGCAACTAAGATTTCTTAATAATTAAGATCTAGGAGTAACGAGTTAGAGATAAAATAGCAATGATGACAGCGCAGAAAGTTGTTGTGCAATGACGAAGTTACCCTTCAGTTTGAGTTTAAATTGCTGTTTTGCCACTGGGTGAAGAAGGCATGATATTAAGGTGGTGTGAGATACTCGTGATCCACTTCATCAGTTATCTCTTGTTGTTATGCTGCTGGTTTTTTCTGATCATTCACGTGACACTTGTGACCGTTACTGTGTGGTCAGGACCACGTGTTCCGTGCGGAACTTCTGTCATCGGGCCAATCACAAACGTCCATTTGATATACTTTGCGATCTGATGAGATATTGACTGCATAACATTCGTGATGTAATATATGCCAATTGAGAATAAAAATTATGATTTAATCTTATATATTTATATAGAAAATTACATAAATAATTTATTTATTTATTATATTTGATATGTATTTTCTAATCACAAATCGGATACCATTTAATTATAAAAAAAATTAATGATATTATTTTAAATAAAAAACTTAAAACATTATATTATAAGTTATCAATATTTCAATCATACTCAATTAAATATTTCATCAAACTTATATAAAAAAAATATTTTTTATTTATAAATTATTTAACTTTCTATTTTTTATTCAAGACCAAATTTTAATTTATATTTAAATTTTTATCAAATTTTTTATTTTATATAATATTAATATTTAAGTGGAAGTTGAAATTTCATGTTTATTAAAAATAAAATTTAAATAACATATAAATAGAAAACACATACATATATATTTTTTAAGATTTTAAATTTAAAATAATATCATATTTTCTCTTAATTAAATCTAATATTAATATTCATTACTACTACGAAAATTGATGTGATATTATTATATGATTACCTTCACTCCATTAATTAAAATCCAACTAACCTCCTTAAAAATATTAATAATAAAAATATAATTTTAGAATTGAAAATAAGAAAAATCACAAAATATTTTTTAGAAGTAAATGAACATAAGTTTGGTTTAATTATTTTTCTAACTGATATCAATTATATTTTGATTTTTAGATATAACTTGATATATGTTGAGTGATTAATTCAAATAAAAATGGGTTGAACGTGTGGTAAGTACAGATAAATGTTTTCATTTGTATGTCTCTAATTACATTTTTTTATTATTTTATCCAAAGAGATTTATATATTGTTATTATTGAAGACAAATGAAAGAATCAAAATTTAAAATTTATAGAAGATTCCTTTGTCTGAGTGTTCCTGCAGAGCGAACCTGCAAACCTACCGATATTAACATGATCATGTTTATGAAATGACAATATATTTCGTTTAAAATTGTCAATTACTATTTATGCAGTTTACGCTAACACCTTAAGTAAACAATTTAAAGTTATTCAGTTTATTATTATTATTATTATTATTATTATTATTATTATTATTATTATTATTATTATTACTATATTTTTAAATCGTCAACTAATTACGTGTTATATATGTGTTCTTATGTCAAATTTTTATAATTAAATAGTTTTTTTATTATTTTATTTTTTAATATTATTTTGCTTCAATTTTTTTTAAATGAGGAAAGATCATTCCTCTTGTCAATATAGTTAAATTATTTATCATCAAGTATTCAATATAGATAAATTATTTACAAGAAAGTATAATATGTTATTGATATAATCATGTTTAATAATAAAATATTAATATAATATCAATGTAATGTGTATAAAGAATTGTATATAATCTAACATATTATAAATGATGGGCAAATATAATTTTGACATATACTAACATGCATCTCAATTTTATATCAGTAAGTAACCTTATATTTTAATCATATTATACTCTTTTGTCGTATAAAAAAATAAAACTAATTTACTTTAAAAATTGAACATTAAATTAATAGTGCAGAGACCTAACTAAAATAAGCTTAAAAATATAAGTGTTCTAATGAAATAAAATTTGGATTTTTATTGATTAAATTAAAAATCAGAAAATAAAAAAATTAATTATTGAAATTCTATTTATAAAAAATAATCATTTTTATATAATTATTTTAATATTTTATTTTATTTTTGTAATCTAAAGACTCGAGTTAAATAATTTCACCCAATAAAAAATTATAATAGAATAAATTTCTCTTTTTAAGAATTTATGTAGTTTGTAATGTCTTGCATGTAAGTTCTGAACTCTTGCATTTATATATTACTGGATAAGGTGAATCTTAATTAATTTAGGGACATTGTAACATGTTTAATTTATTTATTAGAATTTTTTATCAATATAGTTTATCTTCTTAGGGATTTAGGAGCTTTCGAAATTTTTGAATTAAAAGTGATGAAATTGATGGAATGTAATATAGTTTTCAATTCCTTACTATCTTATAATAAATAACTTAAACTGTGAACATGATTTTGTATTATTGGTTGAAATTGTAAAAAGATTGGATTATGTGATTGTATGATTATTACAAGGAAATTATAATTGAAGGTGAGGATGATGATGATTTTAGTAAAATTATGTTTGAGAATAGTCAAAATATATGAAAGTTTAAAGTTAGAATAATAATAATAATAATAATAATAATAATAATATTAATGCAATATTAACATGTTTTGGTTAATAAAACTTAGTGAATCATCTGTAAATAAAATAAGTATTCTTGAATTTTACATGTTTTGGTATTTGTATCATATTTGCTCAAGCAACATTTGGTTGCTTAGATAGAATGTAAAAGAGAATGAAAATTTTTTTTTGAAATTTTTTCACTTAAGTGGGGATTTAGTTGTTTAAGTAATGATATTCTTGATGGAGGGAGAATTATCTTAATTTCGTTTTCATTTAAACAAGAGTTTCTCAATCAAATAAGAAATTCTAGTGGAATGAGGGTTGATTTTGTGATGATTTTACTTAAGCAAAATAATTGTCACTCAAGTGACAATAATCTCACTAAAAAAAATTATCTACAGAATAACAAGGATTTTGAAAAGAATCTTATTCAAAATAAACTAGTTCGTTTATAATATTTGAGTTATTTTATTTATAAAATATGATCTCATGGATTTGCATTAATTGGAGAGATAAAATATGATATAAGATTAATGTACGTGTGAATGTTGAAAGGAAGTGTTTATAATATTGTTACGTGTGGATATGGGTTATATGTGGTAATACCTATCCTCTTGTGAGTGGTGAGTAATGTGTGTAGACGATGAATTAGATACTTAATAGGAGATTTAATTCAATTTATTATTACAATTATATAAATAAAAAGATTAGATGATGATAATTAAAAAGTTCTCACGAAAACTTATGTATATAATGAAAATAAATTATCTTAAAAAACAGTAAAAAGTTAACTATCATTGAGAATGTATATACCAATTAAAATACTCTTTTATTAAACACTTGTAAAACACATAATGTGATATAATAAATATAAAATACTTGAGTTTGAGTTAAATGTCTAATATTTAATATTTATATTTGTTTGATAATGAATTTATATGAATAGGGAATGAGTATAAAGAATAAATTATTATATAACTATGTGATAGATGAAATTACATGTATATTTCTTTATTATGAAATATTTGAATTATATGGTTTATTTTGAATTATTAGACTGTTATTTATATTATAATTGTGTTGTGTAATTATAATGAGTGTATATTAAAAAAAATGATATAAGCGTTAGGATTAAAAAAACAGAGATGAAATTTTTAGAAGAAAAAGATTGAGTTTGATTTATTTTTGAAAAACCTTATTTTTAAACGAAATTAAAAGAAAAATAATGGTACTAAATTTAAGGCTAGTTGGTGAGAAGTAAGCACCCAAAATTTGTTAAAAATGCAAAGTGGGTGGAATACTTTAGTTTTGGTTTGGTTGAGAGGCAAATGTTGGTATGCACGTGTGCAGATCCACTTGCATTTTGGTGACATATGTGAATGGGTTTTCGTGCATTGCCTCGTGCGCGTATGTGTATGAGAAAGAGATTGTGACATTCCAAAAGGCTAAAGCATCTCTCTTTTTTAAACCTTGCACGGTTGCTTCCCTTCACTCCCTTCATGTTGACATTGATATCCCAACACCCACTTTTTCTATCTCTCACTCATCATTTTTTCATTCCCCCCACAAAATTTTTCACCTTTTTATTTTTTTATAATTATTAATTTCAAAATAAAAAAGATTCATTTTTTCTTATGTGTGAGATTCTTCATATAATTAATTCTCACAAATTTCCAATAATTCTTAACCCCTAAACATTTTACTAATGTTTTTGTAGGACTACTAGAACCCTATCAATTATAACAAGATCTCTCTTTTAAAAGACTAGCAAAAGCAACTTTTACCAAGTTCACACCACTTTTTAACCTCGTCTGCGACATCAAAAAGGTTGAATACTACATAATTGAACCTATAATTATTCATCGATGCGGATGATTAGCTCAAAGATACTCGATTAATCACCAACAGGACAGAAAATATTTAAAAAAAAAAAAACCCAAAAGATTGTTCTTCTAACTTAACGTCACTGTCATTCATCTACTTTACATATGAATGTCTCACACCACTTTCCACACTTGGGTGGATAGAATAATTCAAGTTTTCATTTTCTTTACATACTATATTTAATATTCTCTGCTATGTTCATTATTTTTTTCGTATTTCATGGGAAAATGCTAATTGTGAAGGAGAAAAAAGTATCATTCCAAAGTTAAAAAAAAAAAAAAACAACTTCTTCATCTTCTTCTTCTTTGATCTATCATAACCCAATGTTGTTGAATATCATTTTCTTGCTCTAACCATTGTAATGGAGATGGGTTTGGGGTATACGAAGTGTGAAATTATTGGTTTGACTTTATAGATCGAGTTTGAATGATATGAATGGAAGTGAAGAAAGAGAGGGGAAAAAAGAGACTAACTTTATTCACATAGGTAGGTCATTGATTGGTGGGTCCATTAGGAGGTGGAACTACCTGATATTTGACAAGATGACCCTCATATGGGATGGCTTTGTGTGGGCATGGCCCTACCAGTCAAACACTTAGCCAGCACACCACATGTTCCAATTTACCAAGTGGGTGGTGCTTCATCTACACATTTAAATACTTTTTCTATATACAAGTAGTTTATGTGAACAAGGTTCCTTCAATGCTCACTAGGGTTACATATCTCAATACTAAAAAAAACTCATGTTATATTATAATAGAGTTAATTATCTTTTTAGTCCTTAAAATTTATAATGATGATAGTTTTAGACGTTGAAATAAAAATAAAAATATATGGTTTTAATATTTAAATGGTAGATTTGAAGGACTAAGATGATTTTTTGAAAATTGATATTTAAGAATTGAAATGAAATGATTTGAATGTATAGGAAAAGAAAAATGAAAATGAAGAGGTAGATTGGGTGTGGAGAATTGTGTAAGGGATGATGATTGTTGTCCTTTCAAGGATAAAATGGAGGATGTGAACTAGGTAGCCCTTTTAATGAAGCCTCCAAAGCTATTTAATTACCACCATCTCGCTACTCTGTCACTAATAAACTATTCCCACATTTCTTCACCTGCATTTTTCTTTTTCTTCTTTTTCCAATTTATACGATGCCTTAGATCCCACAAATTCAATTTATAGGTGCACGTACACACGTACCACATATTCAATTTATTTATATATATATATTTTTATTTTTTTTAAGATAAAAAAATCTTATAAACCAATGACATTAGATATTAGATATAAAGGCTAATGATTTTTTAAATTTTTTAAACTTATTTATATATTTATAATTTTAATCTTTAATTTAATTATTATTAAATATATTTATTCATATATTTATAATTTTGATATTTTATTCAATATTTTTAATAAATATTAAAACAAACCATTAATTTAAATAAGTAAATATTTTATGTTCTTACATATTTTTATATTATTTCATAATTTATTAATAGAATATTATTTAATTCCTAAAATTAATTAGTGAAGATATGTCTCTTTTAAATTATTCTTAGTATCAATTTTTATTGAAAGAATGAAAATTAGAAATTTATAATTTTATTTTTATTCTCTCCAACTTTTATCTTTTAGTATCATATATAATACAAAATTCTATTTCTCTTAAAAATATGAAATTCTTAATGTTATAAAACTAACTTAATGGGAGTTGATGTTATCATATGAGATTTTATTATAATCTAATATTGTTAGAGTCTACTCTTTATCATATATAATTAAATTTTATAAAATTAATTTAATAGAGTAAAAATTATACCATATAATATATTATAATATTATTATATTTAGGATGATATGTGACTTCATAAAGCTCTTCACCTCGATAAAGACTTTTCACCTCATTCGTTCATTCCGAGAGATTTATTTTTTCAATTACCCTTCACCTCAACGAAATTTTTCGTCGTACCCTTTCAATTGAGAGGATTTTTCATCTTTTAAATTCACAAAACTTTAATTATATTTCGTCATCTTTCTCGTTGGAATTATACGTGTATTTTAGTCTCTAATTTTTCTATGAGCTAATTAAAAGTTTTACCTTTACTTTCATTAAATAGCTCGACTCTCTTTATAAAAGTGAATAATATTTAATAAGGTAAATTTTATACATAAAAAGTTAAAATAAAAAATAAAAAAGTGCAACTCGCATTGACTTTGGCTTCCATTCCATGAAGTAGAGTAGAATAAGAAGGCAATGAATAAAAACATTAATATGCATTTTCGTTTATTAGGAAGATTATTTTTTTCATATTTATACCCCTTTTAAATACTGAAGAAGAGAAAGAAATGGACGATTTGAAGTTAAGAAAGTGTGAATAGGTTGGGCCCAAAACATATAAAGCCCAAATGAGTCCAGACTTTACTCTTGACCCAGACATCTCACAGTTGTTCAAGATATGGCTAGAATTCCTTTTTACAAAAAAGAAAGGCCCAACAAATATTCCTTTTTGATGATTTACAAATGTGTGTTTGGTGTGTTAGTTGGAATCTTGATCTATTTTGGAATATGAAAAATTACTTATTGAAATAACCCTAGTTATTGGAATATTCCTTTTTATAAATATTTATTATTTTAATTATAATATTATAATAAAAATATAATATTTTTTTTAATTTTAATTTTATTATATAAATATTTGAAAACAAATTAACAAATTAGAATTACCCATTCAATTCATTATCTTAAGAAGTAAGACAGGTCGGCGAACCGCAAAACCTGATCCGATCCGTGTTGGGGAAAAAGACAACATTGTTGTAGAAAAGTGATAAGGTTAGAAAATAATGTTTGAGAAGAGAAAAATAAAAAAAAAAAGACATTTTTGATTTCTGAATTGTTAACCTCACCTTCAAGACCATGGACTTAGGGTGCTTCTGATTTACATTATAGTCAACTTGTTCGTTGTTCAATGTGACAATGCTTCTTGTCATATCATCACACTTGTCACTCCAACACACTAAATCTTTGACACCATCAACCATGTGAGAACCACCATTCTACCATGGTCAAAGCATCTGCCACCAAATGTAATGCATGCACTAAAAATTTAATGCATTCTTTTTATCATAAGATAGGTTGTATTCAAAGTTAGAGGCCATGCATTTCCTTTTCTCATTAGTAATTTCCTTTTCTTATAATAATAATACACCGAACAAGTACGTAATGTACTACTCAATGTTCTCATGTTAATATTCAATTATAGGTTCTTATAAGATAAAAAAAGTCAACGAGAAATAACACCTTCTATTTATTTATTTTTTTCTATTATCTTCTGTCAAAACATTTTTTCTAATCATATTCCTAAGTCCCTTATCGAAGTTTAAATATGTTTTGTATTAATCACAAGAGACTAACTCTGATATCGTCCTACCAAAAATATATATATGAATTTTAGATAAAAGATAAAAATTAATTATTATATAAAAATAAATATATTATATAAAATATTTAACAATATATTTAATATTATTAATTAAATTTAAACTTTGAAAACTAGAATTTATTTCTTTATCTATTTTCTCTTTTCTCTTAAAAAAATAATCTATACTTTTTTTTAGATATTTTTAAAACTTAACTTAGTTTTTATTTTTTATATTTTAATATCAAAATAAAATATTAAAATAACTAATTAATTAATAATAAATAAAAAATTATATCAATATTCTATATTTTTATATTATACTACACATGCTCAAGTTGTTATAATAATAAAAAAATTTGTTTACTGTTTTCTTACTTAAAAAAAGTTATTGTGGATATCTTATTTATTTCTTTTTATGGTCTTATATCCTCCATGTAAAAAAAATAATCAAAAGAACAAAAAATTACAATTTTTATGTATAAAAATGAAATTATAAAAAAGAAAAAAAATTGAAAGCTAAAGAAAAAAAATTATAAATTTTATACTATATAAAATGAAACCATGAAAGAGAATAATATAAAAATGAATAAAAGTAAAGAAAAACATAAAAAGATAAAAAGATAAGATAGAAAAATTTGAAATGGGGAAGTAAATAGATGAGAGAAGAAAAAAATAAAAATATAAAGACAAAATAAAAAAGAGAAAAAAATATAATATAAGGATGGTGTAAAAGAATAAATATGATATTTATTATAAATAAAAAAATAAGAAAAAAAGGTAAAATAAATAATTTTAATTATATTAATAAAATAAATTTTATTTAATTTTAAAAAATTATTATTATATATATAAAATTGGTGGGGGGACAGTTGGTTGCCTAAATCCGGATATATATATATATATATATATATATATATATATATATATATATATATATATATATATATATTAGAATTTCTTTTTATGTGGAGAATAAACTAAATGTGGGTCTTTAAGAAAATTTCATAATACGACAAACAAATGAATGAAAGAAAGAAAAGAAAAATGATTGTGAATTTTACATTCCCATTAAGAAGGTAGGTTTTCAAAATTCAACTGGAACTTCCTGGGTAAGTTGGAGAGAATTTAAATTAGTTGTTATTAGGATGAATTAGATTCTTAACATTACAAGTAAAAATTGTCTGCGATCATAATCAACTTCTATTATACAAGTAACCACTTTGGATAAAATGAGACGGAGTTAGGTAAGTGAATCTAGAATATCTATACATGTGGCCATATTAATCAGTATAGTTGCCTTGAACTTTAAGTCTTATCTAAATCTGTGGCCCATTATTGCTTACCTTAACTGCTAGGTTTTTTAATTCACGATGTATGATAGCCCTCTACTCTACCTCCATAGTTTCCCAATATCCACCTTCAGTATTGAAGGCATGCACCAATTCAAGAAACACATTCAATTCCTTCTCTCCAATTTATGTGATTTTATTTAATTCCTAGCGAGACACATAAGAGGACAAGTGATTTTCATCCTCTTTTTTCATCAACTCAATATATAAAGTGATATCCATCTACCTTTTTCACCTGTTCCTTACACTTTCATCAAAACAAACCCATTTGCTTTCCTCTTCTGGTTTACTTTTACCATTAATTCCTTTTCTTTTTCAAATAAATTCTTGTTATATATACATATATATTATATCAAGTACTGAGATTTGGACACGTCTTAAAACCAAAAATTCAAACATCATTACATAAAAACCATGGAAATATCTTCTGTTTATCCAAAATAAGGATGTATAAATAACTCATATATTGCTATAATTAAAACTGATAATTCCTTTCATCACTTTGTCATGACTACAGAATCATTGACCATATATAGTTGAAAAGAAACATTAGTAGATTCAAAATAAATAAAGAGCATAAAACAACAAACTAAATAATACTTGATAAAATCCTAAAACAACACAACCTTAAAGTAAATAGCATTCATGAATCTCATCAATCATTCATGAACATTAAACCTGTGGAAACTTAAATCTTGCAATTCTATGCTTCCAAAAGAAAATCCTTGTCTTCCTCCAACCTCCCCATAGCCTCAGGCTCCAAGGTTAGTTCCACATCGATGCTCCTCCCTCCATTCTTCCCTGGATACAAGTAAATCATCCCATCAAACTTGTTATTAGTTCCACTCCTCACATTCTCTGGCTTCCCCCACCCGAAATCAATGTCATAAACCTTAAACCTTGGGGAGCTTCCCACTGCCACACAATTCACCCCAGCATCTTTGAATTGGAAAATTTTGGGGGCACTCTCCCACTCCTTGTTACGTTCATCAATAGCTTTTGCATTATGAGCTTCAATGGCTTTCTGAACTAATGAAGCTCCAAATTGTGGAGGATGAGCCGTTAAAAGCCCGACCGCGGTAACAGTAAATATAGCCTGAATTAGGTTTCCGAAATAAGTCTCCGGCATCGGTGGGTCGACCCGCTTGCGGCAGTCGGCGAAGACGGTGAACACGGTGTAGTCCTCCGGCTTCAACTTACGTGCATGGCTTACATGGCGCCAAACATGGGAGGAAAGAGCCTGAAATGTTGAGAACGGTTTTGAGCCGTCCGATGGAGGGTTCTCATTGACCGTTGACTTGATCTTATCGATCTTTGAGTCGGAGAATTTAAATATCTTTTCCCTCAGAGTAGGATTGGGCTTTGCCTCGCCATTGGAAGTTGGTGGGTCGTTGGGCTCCGGCAGTGAGAGGTCCAGCTTCACTCGCGTGTTCCGGGCCTTAGTCCGGTCCAGGAAGGGTGGTGCCGACGTGGACGGGGAACCACTGCAAATCTCAGCCCACGAGGTCATGAATTGCCACGTGGCAGTCCCGTCCAACACAGCATGGTTGAAGGCTAGGCCCATTGCAAGCCCATCTTTCAGCTTCGTTAACTACGAACCAGAAAAAACTTCAAATGAAATTAGCACATGAAAATAAAATGATAAAAGATATTAGGAAACCTTGTCAAGTCCATAACCAAAAAAAAAAAGTTAATAAATTAAAAATAATTATTATAATATTTATTACAATAAAAAACAATCATCATATTTGAAAAAACAGTTATGAAAATATATGCATTTATTTATTTTGAGGAAGAGAATGATAGAGTAAAAGTGATAGGTGTTTGTGGGGTGCACTATAATTGCATTACGTGGTCAGCATATTATTAGCACACACCATTGTCCAATAAATTGACCACCTACGACTTGGATAATAATGATACATATTATTTATAAAAATATTTTTAATTTTCATAGTTATATTGATTTTAGTTTAATTATATTAGATAATAATTTTTTAAAACCCTCAAATGAATTTCTAAAGGAACTGAAGAGAATCACACAAGTTGACAAGTCAAAGGCATCGATTTGAGGCAAATGACCCTTTATTCAGAGTCCTTCACTTCAGAGTTCACATGTAGACTTTAAACCATTTCAGAAGAAAATAAAATTATATAAACCTTTCTCTTTTGTGATGAAGGGTATCAATGGCATGCTTATTAGGACAGAAGTATCACATTCAAAGTTTGCATAAACATTATCTTCATACTCAGCGAACATAATTGTAGTTTTGAGTAATCATAAAGATTTTATACTATAAACAAAACCATTGAAGTGTGTTTTTTTTTTCTTCAAAATAACTGTAGTAATTTTATGTGCATTTTTAGTGGACAGAAATTTATGGTCAACAGTTAAATAGTTACATGTCATTGACAAAATGAGACCCGCAAACTGTGGTCGTGATTTGATGTTTTAACTGTATTTTTTTGTTAAAAGAAGAACGTGGTCTTTAATTTATAACCATTTATACAACTTCTAACCTCTTATAGAAGTCATTCACAGGGTGGTGGGCTCAGAGTGCCCTGGATCTGATAATGTCATGGATCTCAGTATACCTACATGCTTTGATCCAAATAGAAACTACAAAAGAGAAAAAATAAAAAAGAGGGTATTTTTTATGACATCGACTCAAATTAATGTTCCATTTCATGTTTTTCTCCTTTTCTTGAACAATTTGGAGAAAATAAGAAAAAAAAAACCCGTCAAAAGAAACATAGCAAAAACCAAAACACTTCCACTGGTTTTTATGGAAAATGGGGTTTATTATGAACTCATCCAAAACCTGTTTTAAATTAGATCTGATGCAAATTAGTACAACTTTTTTTTCATTGTTTCATCCAACCCCTTTTATCATTATGCATTCTCATGAACTTGCAGAGGAAAAAGTTCAAGTTGAAGTTGAAAGCTTGAAAAGTTAACCCTTTATGCTATGACTAACGTCAAGCTAAATTATTAATTAACAAGATAGCAACAAATCATCATGCATTTCAGTTGAAGTAAATTACCTGAACTGCCAGCAAAGGTCTATGCATGCCTTCCAAATTCAAGATACCAGTATAAGGTATCAGCTCCAACAGATTGCTGGTACTTTCAGCCACAGTTAGATCATCCACACCAATTTCATGAGCAACAGCTTCAACAACCTCCACACCAAGCAAGTCATCATCATACTCAACCCTAAACACCCCCTCTTCATCTTTCCCTAACTTTCCAGCTAGTTGGTGGAACTCTTTCAGGACTACACCAAGTCCAACTTTCAGCTTCTGAACCATGCCATCAAAGTCCTCCCCTTTGTAAAACAGTAGCTTCTGGTTGTAGTAGAAGGCCAAGTAGGGAAGATCAAAAGTGACCAACTGGTACTCTTTCCTCCCAATTTTCTCCTCAGGTTGCACATGACTCTTGTTAGTGATTTTGAGGTTTAGGGACTCCTCCTTCTTCAGCACCTCACCTGCCATTGTTTTTTGAAGAAAATATTTGGTGGAAGAAAGTGTGAATTGAATTGGTTTGAAGTGTGCGTTGTGTTGTGAGTTTAGATGATTATTATTATAGAGCAGTGTTGTTGAGAAGCATTTATGGAATTCATGAGAGCGGTTGTGACCAATTAATAATGCTTACTGGGGTTAGCAGTTTGGTAGGATGTAATTATAGATGTAGAAATGTTTGGTAAAATCACAAGAACTTGTACTTAAAAAGCTATAAATTGTTATAAACAGTAAGATTTTGTTCAATATTATATCTACATTATCATAATTGAAAAAAAAAAAAAAACCAACAGGATGCATGCATAATTAATATACTACTTAATCTATATCTAGGATATTTTAATTATTACTTTTTTCATTTTAAATTATTTATCATTCAAGGCAATGCATACAACTTATTAAAAAATTATTAATGTTAAAATATTTTTTATTAAAATAGGTTAAATGTAGTTGCAAACTGAGTATTTAGTTTTCTTTTTAACTAAATTAAGCATTTAGTTTTGTTTTGAAATAAAATTTAGTATTTAGTTAAAATTCTAATGAAAAATATATACTGTTATAAATATTTGATGATTTTTATACTCAAAATGAAAAGTATTGTGAAATAATTAATAAAAAGTTGACATATTTAAGATTGATAAAATTATGTACTATTTTTTTATGTTTTAGTAATCGTTAAATAACTGCCCGATTTATAGGAAGAATGAGTTTAGGTGCTATTTTTCGTGTACGTAGGTTGTTAATCAGTTATAAAGTTATCTGAATAAATTATGTAGTTTTCACGAACATTTAAATTGCATCAGTAAATTTTCTTTGAGTCTTAATAAAAATATTATATGAGAAATGAAAAATGAGCATGTCATCCAATATTTCTCTATATCTGTGTGTCGTCAATAAAAATGTTAATATTTTATTCTATCTAAATATTTTAAAACATATTATAATTAAAATTTAAAACAAAAACATCTTAGAATATATAAATTAACTTCATTTTATAATAAATAGTTTAAATAATTATATATGATTGTTTTTAAATACCGATATTTTTTGAGAAATAATCAAAATACAATTTAGAAATAAGGGTAAAAGATGATAAATTGACTGGGTTATAAGAAAATTTGTTATTATAATCTAAAAAAGAAAAATACATTAAGAATGTTTATTTAAAAGAGTGACAAGCTATTATAGTTTAAATTGTATATTTTAATTTATAAATTAGTAAATATAAACAATATAATAGATTGTCTCGTGACACAAAACTTATATTACTAATTAGAACTTTTTGTATATTCCGAAAAGATGAAAGCTTATTTTTATATAATAATAATTTTGATAATATTTTAAAATTATTTAATTTGAAAATACTAGAGTCATCGTCACATTTTTTCTAATATAATTTTAAATTAATAGATTACAAATATATTTTAATCATTAAATTTTAAAAATAAATAGTGAAAATGAATATCTAATTTATATTGTTGGAGTCTAATTTTTTTACTTAAATTATATTTTACGTTTTATAATGAAATATTGTAATTATAATATATGATTTTTATTCAATGGATAAAAAGTAAACAAATTAAAAAATACTAATAAAAATATAAAAAATAACATTGTTGATAGAATATTTTAGAAGTAATTGTAGAGAAAGTGTTCAAAATACTTAATTGATAGAAAAAATAAAGGCCTTATTTTTAAAATTCACAAAAAAGCTTCTTTTAAATAAACTTCTGTAGAAAAATTAAAGAAGCATAACATATATATTCACATTAATATAAAATATATAACGTACAATTTTAGTAAGAATAATTAATATTTATTGTTTTTAATTGATATTTAGTTATATGAAAATAATAAATTAAAGACATAAGATGGTGGAAGTGATTGGAAATTAAGATTACAGTAATTTTAAATTTCATTTATCTAAATGAAAATTATCCTTAAATAGATATGATCTATCAATATTTAAATTTTAAAAAATATTTTGAAATTAAAATTAAGAAAATAGTATTCACAAGGAATATATCTAAAAAGAAAATTAAAATGCTTATTTTTATTTAATAATCATTTAATTTAATAATGATGATAGAAATACTCTTATTAAATATAGAAATTCAAAATTATAATTTAAAATATAATTACTTGTTATTTAATTATTGAAATTTTCAAATTTATGAATGAAAATATACTTTATGAGATATAGTTTAATGGAGAAATATACTCATATTTTTACACACTATGTGTTTATACAGTATTTATTATTAAAAAATATTATACTTTGTTTCTGAGAATTTTATATAAATGTAAAAAATCTATCCATCTTTAAATTTAAGTACGAGATTTAAGAAAAAAAAAGACGTACAACCCAATTTTATTTTATACAAATAGTTTAGTATAGACATTTTTTTAACAATTTTTTATAATTATTTTAGAAAAAAAAGGTACATTACCCTTTTCAGAACCGGTAGCAATTATTATTTAGTATTTTTTTTATTTTTTTTATTATTATTTGTTGTCAGGGGATTTATTACTAGATTAAATGCTAAAATAAATCACTTTGAAATGTCAAAATTGTGTGGGTGTACAGATGAACTTTGGAAGAATAAAAACACATGTCACTTATCTATCAGAAATTCTTGATTTGGTATGTTTGTAAAAATAAATTTAATATTTAAATATTTAAACTAATAAAATTAGAAATTTACCCTCCCTCCCTCCCTCTCTCTCTCTCTCTCTATATATATATATAATTAGAAATAATTATTTCAATAATAAAAAAATCCAACATTCTTCTCTTATGATAAAAAAATTATACACTCTAATATTTTATTAGATTTTAACTTGTATTAAGTGAACTAATTCTATATATCAAAAAGAAAAAGTCGTATTCTAAAAATTAATATAAGTGACGTGAATTTCTAATATTCTGTCTACAAATATCTATTAGAATAAATAATGATTAAGATAAATTATAGACTCTCATATTATGTATCAAATTTTAACTTAAAAAATAAATTAAATTGAAATTTGACATAAGATAAAAACTTATAAATTCGTCTTGTTTAATATATGTGAAGGAGATATTGAAAATGTTCTTTATATAACTTTTCCAATTTATAAAGTGTAGTTTAAATATTTATTAAAAAAATTAAAATTGACAATAATAGCTTCTCAATTTTCATTTTAAAGAAGGTTACATAAGAAAACTCACATTCATTATTACCCACAAAAGCATAAATAAAATAATCAAAGTAGTTGAAAATCTTGATAATTTTTTAAAGACTATATTAAATGGGAAATTTCATAACCATAGAACCATCAAATCTAGATCAACATCTCAAGTTAAACAGTAAGTGTGTAGTTAAGCGTCGCAATCACATAACCATGACAAAGAAATCTTGTAATTACATTCTCTCAAAACACATTTATCAAGCAAAATCTTTTTATTAAAAATGATTTTCAATAAAAAAAATTTCCAATTCATATATTTTTTAACAATATTTTCTTAATTCACATGTTTTCTCAAAATACATGTTTCAAGTAAAATATTTAAAAAAAAAAAATTTAATAATATTTTTTTATTCATAAAATTTTCTTTTGATAAATGAATAAATATTCAAATATTTATATATATATATATATATATATATATATATATATATATATATATATATATATAGTAGTTTTCATCTATTAGTTTCGTTGTGTCACTAGTTTTATGTCAAACTATACGATATTGACCATTTTTACCATATATTTGAAACAATCAAAATTTAATACTACAAATGTAAAATACATAAACTTATATCCCTAATTTATCTTAATCGCGTCATTTATTCCCTGAACATCATGACAATAACCCATTACTAACTTAAAAATTAGGAAAATGGTACAACAACGAGAATATATAGACCTATAACCTAAGAATAAGGGGGTGACTCATTATTTAACCTCGATTATGCGCAAAAAGAGGTAATTCACCATCTTAAAGTTAAGCACCAATAACACTTATTACGGAATTGGAGATAAAGTTTCGTTTCAATCTTAAAATATGATGTTCTCTTCAATGTCTTAGTCTTTGAAGTCCTTAAATGAGGAACTATATTTTAATATGTTTATGAATTTTATATTGTTTAAGAACCGAAAATAATAGTAATTTATATAAAATTTCATCTCTTAAAAAACTCATAAATACATGTTTCAAAGATAAAATTATAACAAACTAAAATTCTAAATTTAAATATAATAATTGATTTTAAGAATATTATTATAACAAATACGAAATTGGAACATATTGGGAACCATTTTTAATTAAACCACTTTCTTTCTCTATTTTTATTTTCTTGTATCTCTTTCAGTAGCTACATATTTCTTTGTGTTTTGTTTGGTAATAGGAATATAATTTATATAAATATACTCTAATTTAGTATACATATACTAATCAAATTATGAAATATCTTAAATAGTTGTATCTATTTATTTATATAAAATTATTTATATAGTTATTAATGATTTTTTTATTAATAATATAGTTTTTTAAATAATGATTTTAAATTAATATTTCATTTTTTAATAATATATATTTTGATATATAATTATAATTTTCTAATCACTTAAAGTTAAATTAATAAAAATAATATCACATTACAAACAAATAAAAAAATAAATATTAAACTATTTACTTGATTTTTATACTTACTTTCATATTTATAATATTTCATTAAATATATATATATATATATATATATATATATATATATAAAAGTGAAAAAGAAACATCAATAGTGTAATGAAAAATAACATTATTTTTATTACTTTTCTAGTTAAAATAATAAGAAAAATATTTTTTTTCTACTCGTTTTCTTATTCTAGTCGCTTTTTATTTTATACTTTCCTACAAACAGATAAAACCTATAATTCCAACCTAACTTTTTAAACAATTAAAAATTATAATATTTTCTGTCCAATTTTCTATGATTTTTTAATACGAATTCATATAAAATAAACTTCCCATATATTTTTACGTGATTTGTAAAATACTAAGAAAAATTCAGACCACAAAATATGAAAAAGATGTAATAATGTTAGTATTTTATAGTTTTGCCAACCAACATCACAGGATTTTTTTAAGAAATTTAAAAAATTACTAAAAATTATATAAAACACAATAAATAGTCACATAACAAAAAAATAAAGCCATTTTATATATTTCAATAAAAAAAGACACTTACAGATTCTTAATAAATAAAAAAATAAATAAACTCAATTTATTATGATCTATATCTAAAGTTGTTGGTTTGACATACCTAAATATCCCATGCTGGCATAAAGTATATTATTAACCTAAAGTTTCTATGAAACTTAAATGTGTTCCTACTATTGTGGTGTACCTTACACTCTACCGTCACTTTCTCATTATGAATTTAAACTATTTCGCATGCGCCGTCGGTTCTGTTTAGCAAAAACTGATTTTTATTGCTGTAGTTCGCCTCCATTCTACATTGTACTACTTTGTCTTAATCCTCGTGAGTCAATGCTTTTCACACCAAATATTGACCAATTTTTCTCAAAGGAAGAACTTTCAGAAAATCAATTCTGTTTTTTGTTGAGTCATTTTGAATTCTTTTCCACAACCCTCACACCTAATCATGGTTGATTATTTAACATCACAGATTCATAATTAGTGTGAAATTTAGTTGGAATGTACTTCAAAACATATCACATTCTCATTCACATAATGCCTTGTTACATAATTTATTGAAAGTTATTCATTTTTATAATTATTATCCCTTTAATTATGTTTTCTACTCCTAAAATTGATAAATTTTAGTTCTTTCCCTTTCTTTGAAAAAAAATTTTGCCTCAAAATTTAATGTCTAGGACTATATTCATGTTTTTCTAAATTTGAGAAATTATTATTTTTAATTTGATCTAACAAATCTATATTTATAAAAAAGTTTAAGATCTGAAACCTTATTGAATTATGATGATTATAATTTATATTTAAAATTATTATGGTTTGTTTCTTTTCCACAAATAATGAATTGGGTTAATCTATCTAATGACCCTTTTTTTTAACCAATGCTGAAAAATGTAGCCAAGAAAACTTTCAAAGAATTACTTTTTTTAAGATTTTTATTTTATTTTTAATCAATAGTAGTAATTAATGATTACAAAGATCTAACTGTTTCTTTATCTCTTTACACACGTACATGTAGAAGTTGCAAACCATAAATAGGTAGCCATTTTGGATAGCAGTTGTATTGCATTCCCATACGTTTATCTTCAAAGGCAGCATCTTCTCTACTTTGGAACGGCATAACTAATTAGATAATTCAATGTAAAACTGCTTTCTTATGATAATATTTTATTAGGGTTAAATTTTATATTTGAAGTATTGTTTTGTTATATGATTTTTTTTTATATTCGAGGTATTATTTGATTCGTTATACGATTTCACATCTATTATGATAATATCATTAGAGTTAATTTTAATGTCTCAAGATATTATCTGATCCGTTATGATCGTTATAATTAATTTTTACATCTGAGATATTGTCTGTTTTGAAACGATTATCTCATCACAATTTTATCTTTAAAAGAGATTTTAGTGAATTAAGAGTGGAAGTGTATTTAAACTACCTTTAGTCTCGATTTCTAAATGATGTGAGATTTGTGAATACATCAAAACACAAATAAATAATATTACTTAGATAATAAGATTGTTTATACTTTGAGATTCTTTAACGGATTATTTATATTTTAATTGATTGTTTATATTTTAAAGTTCTTCAATCTATTATATAAAATATCAATAGAAATCTAATTAATTCTATGAAAAATGTTACAGGTTGAATCTAAAATTCAATTTTAAAAATGATTTAAATAATAATAATAATATAATTATTATTTATTTTATTATTATATTAATTAAATATATGTTTTGAAATATTAAATTACTAAAATAATAAATAATGTAATATATTTTTAAAAGAATATTCTAAAAATATCTAAAAAATATATTTAAAATTTAATAAAAAAATCAACTTAATTTAATCATCCAATTAATGATAATTTAGATCGAATTAGATGAAATAAAATATATTAAAATTGGGAACCCTAGTGGCTCCATCACACTGTCTAATATTCATCTTTATAAATTGAAATTGAAATAGAAATATATTTGTCATAATTCGACACTAAAATAATATAAAATATAAACACATCATATTGCTAATCTAAATTTTTGTAGTCTCTTTTAAGTTTTTATTAAATCTAAATAAGTTTTACATTAAAATACTAAATGTTTTATATACATTTGAAATAAGAATTTAATAAGATATGATGAATACACTTTCATAGATGATTATATTAAAAAAAATTGTTAGAAAATAAAATATATTATATTATTATCATGAATATAAACACAAACTTGTTAATGTCCACATTTTTTAATTTATTAAAATTTAATATATATGTCAATTAAAAATATAAATATTTATTCTTAAAATTATGAATTATGGGAAATAAATAAATGTAACATGGATTTTTAAGTATAACTAAAGTAAACATGTAGTTGAAAAAAAATGATTGTTTTTTATTATTTTATATTTTAAAAAAATTATATTAAAAGGAGTGGAGAAAAGAAGATATAATATAATATGAATTATGTATATTTTTTCTTCAATAAAAAAATAATATAAAAAAATTATCCTTTATATATAATATAAATAATGACACTAGTAATATATTGAATTATCAATTTATTATATATAATTATTTATGAATGTTTACTCAATTTTTTCTTAAATAAAATTAATAAACAAAAATAATATAAAACTGTTTTTTTTTTCTTTTTAAAAAATTATGTATTATTTTTTATTTTTTTTCCTTTATTTATATTCAAATTTGTTTTTCAAATAAAATTAATAAATAAAACTAATAAAAAAAATTCATGTTTTCTTAAAACACTTTCGATTACATTTTATTTTCATTTCACACTCTTAAAAGACCTCTTTTATATTAAAAAAAAAATTACGAAGACAGAGATCTATGTGTTCCACTAATTCATTATAAAAAAATAATATAAAATCATATTTATAAATGATAAAAAAAATTAAAAAAGAAAGTTGATTTATTTATATCATTTAAGTCATCACAAAAGTTACAAATTGGTTTAAACATTCATTCAATGATCCATTTGAATATTATAATAATAATATATTTTTATTATTAAAGTAGGTGATATATTAACTGTTTAGTAGAAATAATATTGTAGAAAGATATTATTATATGTACTCATAATTAAAAATATGTACAGTTTTCATTGATAGATACGATACCTTGTGTTTCTCCACCTGACCCACACCAGTAATGGTTACTATGTAATTATGATCTTGTTAAGTACAATTCAACACAGTATGATATTGCCATAGGAAACATTTAATGTACTTTAAGAGAAATGCTTCATCATAGTGTCTACTTGTTTATGTATAGCAAATTTATAGGAAAAAATATATATTTATAATACATCAACTTATGTGATATTTAACAAATAAGATAACATAAAACCACTCCAATACCAATTTAATAATTATCTTTGAAATAAAATATATTATTTCAATATAAATCTTATATACAATTATTTAAAATGTAAAATTTACATTAAAATAATATATTTTATTAAATAACTCTTTTAAATAATTTTTATTGAAAATACTTAAGTTAAATATTTATATTGTTTAACAAATCGATAACAAAATGATTTATATAAATTAGGTATTTCTTTCTCAATTATAAATTGTAATATGCATCATTACAATAATTATCTTAAAATTCATATTAATTATTTTTTTTAATTAATTAGTTATGTGATTTTTTTTACACTAATGAAACTATATTATCTGTTAAAGGCTGTTACGGTTATTTATTTATAGGAAATTTCTTTTGGGTAATACACTCTTGTGGTCTGAAACATTCTGGACCAATTCGTTGGGCCAAGAGCACATACGCATCTCACTTTCTCCAGGCCCATTTCGCATAGTTTTGGTCCTTCTTTTTGTCTATTGCTATTTTAACTATCTTCAATAACTTTTCATTCCCCTCCCCCTAAAATTATCTTATTTCCAAAGTGTATCTTTCTGAAAGTGAATTTAGTAAATGTGCAATTCATTCTATTTTTTTATTTCGTGAAATTTTAGTTTAATACTTCTGAAAGCTAATTATTAGTAGCAAAATTTGAACATTATTTCTATAAACTTAAGCATGATAGAACAACTTATTGCTAAAAATCAACCATTGATACGCAAAATCTAACTTTGAAATCAAAACACTCTTCTCATTTAAATAAAAATAAAATTAACTAATATTCACACAATCAGCTAATGTTTTTTATTATTTTTAATTCTACTAATTATATTCACAATATTTATTAAACGTACTCTTAAAATTTGACAAAATAAATAATTTTTTCTTAAAAATAGAATATCAATTAATTGGACATTATTTCTGAAATAATATTATTAAATAAGATGGAAGTAGGCACAAATTTATTTATATTTAAACTTTAAAAAATTTTCTTTTTCTGTATATATTAAGTTTGGAGGGTATACTGAATAATAAAAGAAAACATACAGAAAGAAATAAGAGACAGTGAGTTTAAACGTTCAAAATAAAAGACAAAATACCAAATTTTAAGACATTTGTTTTGTCCCTAAATATTTATACTTATAAATAATTCATTTTTATTGCAAATTTAGTTTAACTGATATCATTAAATTTTTCTGCTATTGGAAATGTGTTTTTCTTTTTCAAAACCGTTCTTAAATAATTAATGTATCAGCATAATATAATATTAGTTAATTTAAAAACAAGAAGTTAAATGATTTTTTTCAGTGTACATTTATTTTTTTTATCAAATGTTAATAAATAAAAAAATAACCTCTAAAAATAACTTATACATCCTCAAATAGATTTTAAAGCATCTCTAATAATAATTTATAAAAATATTTAAATAAAATATTAGTTGTTTGTTTGAATAATTTTATTATATGAATATTAAATGGCATGGTAAATTGTTTAATTTTTCTTTTTAATTTTTTTATTAAATAACTTACAAAATATAAAAAAATTAAGAAAAGAAAATAATTTTATTTCAAATTTAAAAAATTATATTAAATAAAATATATTTTAATATATGTAATAACTAAAAAAAATATGTATTTTAATATATGTAATAATTGATAAATAATTTATATAAGTTATTTATAGTGGAGATATTATTATACATTACCATTCAAATGTGTTTTAATATATGTAATAACTAAAATACATTTTAATGATAATATGCTAAGACTTATTTTTGAAATAAAAAATATTAAGAGAGATTTAAGTTATTTTTAAATATTTTATTTTAAGTTATTTAAATTATAAAACTAAATTTAAACTTTTATATATTTAAAAGAATAAGAACAAAAATCTTCAATTTTTTACGTAAGAGAAAGAAAAAATCGCAAGATATATTTATCCTCTACAGTAGTTAAAAGTGCTTTGATGAAAAAAATAAAAATTAATGCAATGAACAATTAAAAAAATCATATAACATCAGAAAGTAAAAAAAAAAAAAATAGTATCTTTTATTTTGAACGATGAAAGGAGTTATTTCTTTTAAGAGGGAAACGAAAAATAGTATCAGATAAAAATAATATTTCATTAAAATATTATTTAAAATGATTTTATAATATCTTTAGTTAGTATAGAATTTTTTAATACATCCAATTATTAAAGAGAATATTTTTTTTACTCTCGTTGAAAATAAGAGATTCAATATTAACATGATAACATTATTAAAATTGATCATTTTTATTCTATTATTGAAATTATTATTTTAAAAATAGTAAAATATTTAACTTAATTTTATAAAATTAATTAAATAAAGTAAAAATTATATTAATAATATATATTATTAGATTATTATATTTTTAATTGATATACGAATTTTAAAAAAATTAAATAAAAATTAAAAGTGTTTAGTTAAAGAAAATAAAGAAAGATAGGGAAAATTACTATTTGAAGTTATTTTTAAGAAAAGCAATTAGTGAGTCACACTATTTTGTAGTCAAATTTTGCTTTCGTATGACACATAGGCACACTCCCACGTAGCACCTTTTGGGATGGGAGGTTGCTTCCACAGCATCACTCACTCTCCTTCATTAATTTTTGAAGAAAAAAAAGAAAGAAAATTGTTTGGTCCAACCGTTATTAAATGAAATTAAATGGCTAATATTTCATCACACTTCCATAGATGTCAGGACTTTTTAAAATGCTGGGAGAGGGGAGGTTTAACCAGCCACGAAAATTTGCCCCACACGCTTTCTCCCCCACAAAATTCACACCTCCCAATCGTAACCTTCAAACATTCCACTTACACCTTCCTATCCTCAAAAGGAGCAAACAAAAAACGGCATATTCCCCAAACAATACCCACCAAAAACAATGTTAACCAGTTGTTTATCCCAATGTTTTTTTTTTCCTTAAAACAAATTTTAATGTTTTAGTTTCATCCATTCTTAAATTATTAATTTTATTATAAATATTTTTATGAAAATCAAAGAAAAGCATCCATTGATAGTAACATCAGTGATCTCATTAATGAAAAAGCCTTCAACTCAAACACCGTTACGATCCGAACTAAAGAAAAGATAAAAACCATAAATATCAAATTATTTTGTTTTTTCCAATTTTCTTTTGGCATAAAATTAAAAACGACGCCATCACTCTCTAAAAGTCATCACCATCGTAACCAAGATCATCCTCCACCCTTTCGGCCACGTCATCAGCAATTTTGTTCTCGAGAAACTCAGCACCCTCGACAAGCGCGACTCCACCTAGAACCCCAGCGACCGCGCCCACAGCCAATCCTGTCCCCATCCCCCCAAACTTACTCTTCTTTTTCTCCTCCTTTGGCGCGTACCCGTACTCGCTCCCCTGTCCATACGACGCCGTTTGCGGCGGCGCATTATAGCCGTACCCACTCTGCGGTGGCGCACCATAACCCTGCGTAGGCGCATTATAAGGATACCCACTTGGGGGCGCGGCAGAATAATACGCGCCTTGCTGCGGAGCACCGTAGGGAGGGTACCCATAGGCCTGGGGCGCAGGGGAATAATCCCTCACGCCGTAACCCGGCGCGTTGTACGCACCAGGCGCAGGATAGCGGGGCTCCCTGATTGTCACGCTAACCTCAACCTTCCCTTGCGGTCTTCCCGAGGGACGCTTCAGCGTGAGAGTGCGGCCCAGGCGCTCGCCCATTCCGACGTCGTTGAGAACCTCCGTGAGCTTGAGCCGAGCCGAGCCGATGAGCGGCTTGGTGTCTTCCTCCGAGCCGGCGTGAACCACGTCGATGTAAAGCGTCTGATCTTCGAGGGGCTTCGGCGGTAACGGAATTACGAGCGTCTGATCCCAATTCGCGTCCGTATCACCGTTCTCGTCCACGTGCGTGGAGAGCTTGTTGCTGGGATCCACCCAAACGACGACGTACGGGCGATTCGCGCCGTTGCGCCAGTTCACGTTCTTCAACCCACGCGCCGATGAGAGCTTCACTTCCACCTCGTAACGAGAACCCATTGTTGAAGTTACTATGACCGTTTTTGTTGACTCGTAAGTTTTGGTTGGGAAGCACGAAAGACCGAACTCCTTTATAGGGAGAGTTTGTTTGGGTTCTTTTACTTTACCCTTGAGTTATATCGTAATTACGGTTTTGCCATCGAGAGTAAAACGGCCATGGTTGGTGGGGAACGTGACAGGAAATGGTATCTTGAACAGGAAAGAACAAAACAAAAAAGGGGTTACTTTTATATTAAGTTTCTAAAACGTATATATGATTATAGTATATAATTAATTACTGTAGTTGATTTATACGTTATTAAACGATTAACTTTTTTTACATCTATATCATCATTACTTAAATCACATTATTTAATTATATTATAAGTTAATTACTTAATAATTACATATTTCTTAAAATTAAAATCACTTGTAATTTTTCATAGTTATTTTAATATTAGTAAAAGTAGAAAAAAATAGCAAGACACGAGCATAATAAAATACAGTTATATATAAATAATCGAGTTTATTTTTATAAACCAAGTTTTGTTGAATAATTTTACTAAAATCGAGTTTGATTTGTAAACTTTTGTAATCTATGCTGTCACCACGTAATTTTAAGAGGGAATCGTTTAGATTAGGTCTTAAATTCTGGACTGTTCTCCGTGTTGACGTCACATCACAACTATATCTAATTTACCGTATCCATAAATTGATAATATAATTATATGTTATAAAATATTCTAATTTCAATACAAATTTATTCTTTTCCCTTTTTTTTACACATAGTCAGTAAAAGTTTATAACATGTTAAATTAAAAAAAATATTTATTAGATATATTTTGTTTCATTCTATTTGACTAATCAATAGCTTCATCACTTATCCAAGAATTAATGTATAAATAATTTGTTCTTTTAAAAAAAAACTGAGAAAAAAATATTTAAATATTTGTCATTTTTTCAGAATGTATTAATTATTTTATTACTAATTATATTTTTATCTTTTTAATTATGATTATAAAAAATATAATGAATTATTAAAAATGATTTTGGATAGAAAATATTAAATATAAGAATATCGATAAAAATATTACAAAATTTATTAAAAATAATACAAGTTAATGTACAATCAACCTTAAACCCATAATTATAATTATAGAAAATAGTAAATTTAAAAGGTAGGTATTAAACTCGGGTGAATAGTTGTAAAATTTATAACTTTTCAAAATTATGTCTTAATTTTGGTATTTTCAAAGTGTGTGTATTGTATTGTGGAGTTGTTTATTTAAGGGAGGAAAGTATATATATATATATATATATATATATAATTCTTATCATACATTATTATTTTCTAATTTTTGAAAAAAACTCAAATTAAAGGATTTATTATCACTTAAATTAAAATAGTTTTAATTAAATTTATTTTTATAACAAATATCTTAATTTATAATAATGTAATATTTGAATTAGTATTAATGAAAAAAAAAACGTTGATGATAAAATAAAAGAAAAAAATTGAGTGTTCATAAATATATAAATCGAACTTAAAAAAAAATTACACTCACTATTATACTTTTTTTTTAACTAAATTACAATAGTGTATACTTTTATATCAGAATAAATTCAAGACTCATTAATAATTGTGAAATCGTGTCTAATAAAAATTACTATGGGTAATATACAATATATATATATATATATATATATATATATATAGATATAAAATAAAATTGTTTTTTAATTATATTCTATTTTAAATATTGTATTTTAATGATTACAATATTTATTTAGTTTTACTTTTTCCGTTAAATTGTTTTAAAATCATTAAGAATGAAAAAATAATAATTAAAATGAATAAAAATCTCTACAAAATTCGTGAATCGAAATTTATCATTATTTTTTATCTTTAAATTTATTTATGAATTGTATATAGAAATATATTCAAATCATTGAAATACTTTGCAAATAAAAAGTTAGTATAAATAATTTAAAAAAAAGTTCATATCACAAAATAAAACTATCTATATGGTTCTTTAATATTAAAAAGAAAAAGTTCACGCATAAGTTAATATTTTAATTATAGAAAATGAGTTATTTCTAAGTTAATAATTTTTTGAAATTAAAAAATATTAATCTAATTAAATATTTTAAAAAGTATTAGAATAATTATTAGACATAAAATTTATAATAAAATATACAAAGAAAAATACGTTTATTATATAAAAAGTATATATAACTACAAAAAATAATTTAATATACAGAAATGTAATAAATAAATATCAAATTTTAAACTTGCAATAAATAAATATTTTTAACGTATAAACTATATTTAAATTTTTTGAATAAAATTAAAAGATAAATGCAACGTTATTTTTACTAACGGATAACTTTTTTATTTTGAATTTATTTAAATTTGAATTAAAACTAACTGTAATAACACATGTGATATATGTAAAAAAAACAAAACTAAAGTACTTTACACATATTTTCAATTTAAAAAAATTATATATATATATATATATATATATATATATATATTTAAAAGTACTTATATTTTGTTTTGTTAGTTGAATTGAAATAAGATTTATATACAAATTTATAATGTTCTTTGACTTATAAATAGTATTTAAGTGTCTCAACATTATTTACTTGTTTCATTCTCTTTTATATGAAGATTGAAGGTGATATTAATGTTTCTTTACAATTTTCTTTTAAGGCAAACAACATGATCCATCAATTTGTACTTATGATTCTGGTTTGCAGTGTTCTTTTATCAACAATAACCTCAATTCAAAGTGGTAGAAAATTATCAAATTTCTAATTTTGACAAGTACTCCTCTAGTTGGGAAAAGTTCTATCTTATATTTGCATTCTCACACGAACCAGCAGAAGGAATGATGTGAAAAAGAAAAAATCGAAAATTAGAATTAAAAAATAATATATATATATATATATATATATATATATATATATCTTAAATTTTTAATATTATAAAAAAGCTACTTTTTAATCGTATCATATTTTAATGATTACATTACAAAGGATATTGATAAAAAAAACTATAATTTTCTTTATCCTTATACATTATGTTTTAGTCTGTTAATATTTTAATCATTATTACTAAAAATACTGTTAATTTAGTGTTCGTTGGCTGTTTCCGATTTCGTATTTTTTAATAATAATATGTTACTAAAAATACTGTTAATTTTTACGTACTGTTCGTTTTGATGTAACACTCGTATAATACTGAACAACCTCAATAATTTCACCCTTATTCAGAAGAATGTGCTGAGTCGCAGGGAGCTAAACTGTAACCAGAATCAGAACCAAAACCTAAACGAGGCGCGTAATACGCACCCTGGGTACTATCGTCATAAGACTCTCTTGTAACGACATTAACGTCCCCTTTTATTTAGGAAGGACCGCTTCAGCGCAAGAGTCCGACTGACGCACTCGCCGAATCCATGTGGACTTCTACGAGCTTGAGCCGATGAGCGGTTCGGTGTCCTCCTCCGAGCCCATGTGGACCGCTTGACATGGTTTTGGTGTGACCGTGTTCGTCGATGCGAATGGAGCTTTTATCTGTGGGAGACGCCGATTGAAGTTGAGAACAAGTGATTGAAATTGGAAACTTGGAAAGAGAGTTTAACATTGAAGGAATGATGGAGTGTGGTGTGTTGGTTATATAGGTAAGTGTGGGATGGGAAGTGTTTAGTATTAACCCCTTTGTTTTAAGGGTGATATCTGAAGTGATATAATTTTAAGAGAATATAAATGATTTAATTAGTTTTAAAGTAGTGAGAGCCTACAAAGAAGGTATATAATATATGGTTGAGAATTTTGGAAGAATATTAACAAATTTGTATTAGTTTTCAACAACTTGTAACATTGTTTATATATACAACATTTTTTATATATACGATTTAATCTATCACTTTTAAATTAGTTTACAATATTTTAAATAATTATAATTTTTTTTAACTCTAAAAATTACCAAGACTTATAAATTTTAGAATTATTTTTTATTTTTAAATATTTTTAGAATGTTTTAATAATTTTAGAAATTACTTGTATAAAGTTACTACTTCTAATAGTTTATAAGAGTTTATTTTCTTGATTTTTAGAATTACTTTTCTTGAATTTCATTTCTAGGAGTGTTTTTAAAAATATTATCTTATCCTTATCAATTACATGTTAAATAACATAGGCATTTTATATAGGTCTAACCTAATTTTTTTAATAGTTCTATCACTTTTAAAATTGAGTTTTTTTCATAAACTCATTTAATCACTAGTGCAAAAATGGGCTTTTACGTCAGGTATTTAGGGCTTTTTACGTCGTATTTAAGACTTACGTTAAAATGGGAGACGTAAATTTATGTCGGACCCTTTAGCCCGATGTAAATTTACATCGCTTATCAAGACCCGACATAATTTTGCTTTGCATATACCACTAAACAGACGTAAAAACTGTCGAAAATAAAAAAAAATAGCAAATTTACGTCGCATATTGGTATACGCGACGTAAATTTACGTCACATATACCAATATGCGACGTAAATTTGTTGTTTTTTTTTTTAAATTGGGTTGATTCTGTTTTACAACTAAAACCTGCAAATATATATTACAACTAGACAGATTCAGGAGGTTCAATTTTCTTTAGCTAGTAAATTAAAAATATAATATTATATAATTCAAACTACATAATAAAACAATATAATACAAACATACAAACTAAAAAATCTATTACAAACTAAAAGTTAATACAAACTAAGCTACCTAAACTACATAATACACACAATATAATATGAACAAGAACTTAAAAAATTATGTACTAGATTTGTTGAACAAAAAATTTTGTCCATTGTTCTCTAATTTGTGTAATATCATATTCTGGTAATGGAGATGAATCTTGAAATACCTGAAACATTAATTTGACTCTTGTAAACATGCAACATGAATAAAGTTAAATAAACTTAACTAATGTTAAAAACAATTACCTCCGTCCAAGAATCAATTATACTCGCACAAACTATGGCTCTCATCCAATACATAACATAGTAACCACATTCAAACGAGTTTGTTTGCTTATTACACTGAAATGATGCAAAAAAACATAATGTTATTTTCAAAATTTAAATACAAACAATAATTATGGTATTCACTTATATAAATAAGTTTCTAACCTTAAGATAAATGAACTGCAAAGTCTTTGTTCTAGGTTTTCCACTTAGAACATTAGTTTCAGACACGATTCTAAGTGAAAAAAAGTCATATATTGTTCAATATGTATTTACAATTTAAAAACATAATTACTGAATAAAAGATAAAGTTACCCTTGTAATAAGTTTTTCATTTCTTGACTCGGTTTCCGATGTAATGAACAAAACCACACCACAAGTGTAATCCCGGGTATGATTACAATTAACTATCAATGGGACCTACATTGTATGACATAAAAATTAGTTACAAAAATATAAATTAAAATACAAATTAAAATACTAACCCTTCAATGTATGGAACCAAATATATATGTCTTTTTGAGTCACTCATCCATGTTTGCATATATTGTTGGATTCCAACCTTTGTATTTCCGCATTTTTGGATGGATTGAGGCTTAATAAATCCGTATACTTCAGATTTTTCTTGTTCCACACTCAATTTGTCAATGTACCTAAAACAATTAATTATAAGTTGAATATAATTATTATAATCTTAGAAACATAAATGAGAATGACTTAGTGTATGATGGAAATGTTTAACATGCAATTTCCCCTAGCAATTTCTAAAGCATCGGTCAAGGAAATGTATAATGGAACACTGAAATTGTCAATTCCAAATACTCTAACATCCCATTGTATCTGACACGATCTCTTCCTCAACCATTGTATCTGACACTCTAACATCCCATTGTATCTGACACAGTCTCTTCCATTTCTTGCTTTTAAAGTAAACAATTTTAAAGTTGCTGATAATCTTGTAAAACTACATCCTATGTACAATTGTTGCACAAAATCAGATTTCAAAGAATCATATAGATGTGCTTTCATAAAATTTTCTTCACCAATATCACGTATCATATCCTCTAGATTATCATCCATCCCTTCATCAAAATTGTCTGTAGTTGACACAGTTGGGATGTCTAATATTTCTCCATGCCATGTCCATATTGTATAACTCTTAATAATATCATAAACAAACAAGTGATCACGTATATCCTCAAGTTTATGACGAATTTGATTCAAACAACAAACACATGGACAATAATATGTCCCTTTCATAGCTTTTCCATTTTCACTAGCAAATTTCAAAAATTCCTCAACTCCCTTTTCGTACTCTTCACTAATATGACGTGCATTCATCCAACTTCGATTCATATTATGTTATAAAGTTTCGTCACTCCTAGAGATTTAAAAATTATATGTAAAAAAAAATTAATATACAAACAACAAAGCACGTAAATGGAGTGTGTAAACCGAAAATGCACTCAAACAAATAATTACATTCCAATAACAATCCAGTGGAGACATTCATACAATAACATGATTGAGATCCCCAAAAACAATCACAGATTCAATTTAAACATATAGCAATGACATAGAACACTAACCTCGAGTGTAGACGAAAAATGATTTCAAAATCGAATCCAATCGGGGAGAAATATCAAGTTCGTAAAATGACACACAATGTTGATGTTTTTCACTGTCAAACTGATCGAAAATGGTGTACAGAGGTAGCTGTTGTCGTCGTTCTCGTCGTTGTTATCAAAAACCATTGTTGCGCGAGACCAGAGAGTGGGTCTAGGGGGAAATAAAAGGGACTTTTTACGTCGCATGCTGGGGTGCGTGACGTAAAAGTTTTGTCTCTTATTTACAAAATTGTCACCGCATTTTATTTACGTCAAATATTTTTACATGCGACGACAATTGGGTGACATAAAAGCCCTTTTTTTCACTAGTGAATTCCAATAATATCTTTTTCATCTAGATAATCTATTAGTTCTTAAGTATTATTTTTTTTAATCATTTTAATTTTTTTCTTCATTGTCTTGATCTATATTTCTTGTTTCACTACCTTTTTCATAGCATTTAAGTTTACGCTTGTCATGTTGAATATTTCATATATCTTCACAAAAGATCTTACTCATTTAAGAGTAAACTTTAGTGAAAATTTTTGTTAGTTGTACAAATAAAAGAAACTTATCTAAATCTTTTACTACTATTTTTTTTATCTTCTTCTTAAGATTGTTATCTTGGAACAAAGACATTATTTCTCATGATTTTTTTCTTTTTCCAATTCCAAGAAACACTTTCATTAACTTCAATGTGAGCTTTTTTGTTGGAGGTTATAAACTTTATATCCTTTTGATTTGTGTATTATATCCCAACAAGTTTCCTCGTGTAATCTTATCTTTTAATTGTGTTTTTTTTATTTGACACATGAATGTAGCACATAGATTGAAAACCCTTGAGTGATTAGTTTATAACTTTTTTTCACTTTAAGCTTCAATTGAGTATTGTTCTAGATTGTTTAAGTTGGGAATTTGTTGAATATATATATATATATATATATATATATATATATATATATATATATATATATATATATATATATATATATATATATATATATATATGACAGTATAAAGTGCTTCTACCCAAAAAATATTAGACAAGTTTTTTTCCCCTATAATATCGATCTAGTCATTCCATCATTATTCGGTTCCGTGACGTTTATTATTATTATTATTATTTATATAAGAGTAGGAGGTCAAAAAAATATTACATATATGTAAAAGTAATTTACATCACTATATAAGATATACAATAGAATAAGGAATTTTATTTTTGATTCCTTCTATTTTTTCTACGATTTTACAAGTATCTACATTGCTTAGGTGGAAACAAACTAATTAAGGGGTTTTGGAAAAAGGTAGGCAAGCATACAAAAGGTAACCACTACTCGGCCCATCTAACATAATGGGATTTCCCATATCGGATACAAATGTTATTATTGAAAATCTTGTCCCTCTAAAAGTAACCGAATTGTCTATAACATTTGTGTTCCAAGTAGTTCCGGAAAGAAGGCGAGTGATGCTTGCGAGAAAAGGGATTTGGAATATTTGGCGCCTCCATCTACTTAAGTTGATTTTTAAATAAAACATGCATAAAAGATCACAATGGGGAGTGAGAACATTTATCAATTACAATAATACAATCTTATAATATATAGATATATATGTTTCAACTTCCTCAACACATTCTATTTTATGAAGATTTAAATTAAATTTATAGTGACTAGTCAGGATAAATGAGTTCAATTTTAATCACTCTCACAGTGATATTTACTCATTTAAATCCCCAAGGTCCAACCTCCATCTACAATATCATCAAATCTTCACAAATAGATATTATTATAATTGAATAATATAACTATAGATTAATAAATAAGATCGTTGCATTACTAGAGATAAAATAAAGTAAACAAACAAGACCAGTACGTAACTGGAGATAATTAAAATAAGACCAGTGCAAGACTGGAGATAAAATAAAATGAACAAACAGGACCAGTACATAACTGAAGATAATTAAAATAGGACCAGTGCAAGATTAGAGATAAAATAAAATAAACAAATAGGACCAGTACATAAGTG